GTCCGGAAACGAGACCGACTCTATCGCTCGCTTCACCATCGCTGAGTGCGGAACTCTCACTTATGCCGATACCGTCTCATCTGGTGGTCTCCTCCCCCGCATGATGAGCTTCAGCCGAACTGCCAAGCACGTCTTTGTTGGTAACCAGAACGGTACCAGCGGTCTCGTTGCTCTTCAGCGAGGTGCCGATGGCAAGCTTGCTGAGAAGCCTGTCGCTACCCTTCCTGGGTCTGCGTTCGGCGAGCCTTTGTTCGGACCTCAGTATGTGCAGCAGATCCTCCTGAACTAAGACCGGAGATGTTCACTGTACTATTTCTTCTTCTTCTTCTTCTTCTTTATGGCGCTTTTGGTGTTTCTCGGGCTTGATAGACCCTTGGAATCGGGCACATTGGTAATTTTTTTTTTAAAAAAAGATTCTTGTTTGTTAGTCAATCAGATAAATTGACATTTGCTCTATACCCTGGTATCAGAAAAAAGAAAACGCCTGTTCTTCGTGATGAAAACCCTGTTGCAAATGTGATCCTATACTGTACTGTAATCCGTATACTCATATCCCACTCAATCTGAACTTGAATCGCTCGCCATGCCTGCTCCTCCACGCCCCGATGTATCTTCCAGGCTCTCTTTGACATGTCGATACTCTTCATCTAGTATATCTGGATCTGTGCACTTGTAAGCTGTCTCGAAGTCGATGAGAACAGCATCGCCATCCTGTCTGATGAGGAAGTTGTGCTTGTTGATATCGCCGTGTACGATGCCTAGATCATGCAGCTTTTGCAGACTACGCTGGCATGTGGTGAGATCTTCAGGTTCTGCAGTACGAGCATTGTGAATCTCTTCGAGGAGGAAACCAATGACTCGCCCGTTCTCGTGAATATGGCCGAGAAACTCAGGGCCGATGCCTTGGCCGTGGATCCATTCGTACGAAGTTGTCTCAGCAGCGAAGTAAGGAATCTCCCATGGGAACTGCGCAAACTTTGCGAGGACCGGTGTCTTGAAAGTAGGATGGGATACACGATAGAGCGTTTGGCGCACACGCTCGATCTGGCGGAGCTCGAGATGATCTATCATAACATCATGCCAGACATTTCCAATCCCGGGCAAACTGCTTCTTCTCGTCTCGCAGAAGAAAGGCTTCCCCGTATGCCCGTCCTTTCCGACACGGCCCTCGTTCCAGTCTCCGGGGGGAAATACGGGGAGTTGAGGGAGGAGTTTTGGCTCGTATGTGCGATGTTCAGGGTCTATGAGACCCCCGTCTAGTGTGACGTATCTTACGTGAGCGCCGTCGACGAGGAAGCGATACTCGCTCTTCTCGTCTGATTCAGGGTCTGCGAGGACAGCGAGAAGCCTGACGTTGTTGTTATGTTTCATGATAGAGTGATCTTTGAGTAACCATAAAGGTGAGTACCCCTATGGTTATGGCTATAACAGGTGTATATGTATATCGTAGTGATCAACACGCGATACAAGAGGTTGATGATAACACGTGGGGGTTGTAGCAAGCCACAGAACCACGTGTGGAGCTGATATGTTGAAGATTGATGATTTATAGAGAGAGTGAGCTGAGCTGAGCTGAGCTGAGCCGAGCTGCGAGGAAGAACGAGTCTTTTTATGATTGAATAGTCTAGTCTATGGAGGGGCTTGGATGGCCTTTTACAGGTCAGGTAATGCAAAGCGTGCACCTGGACTGAACTGAAAGTGAGGAGAGCAGAGGTGGGAATTGCGCTTTGACTCGTATATAGTGCCCCAATACTACCTGTACGGTCGATAATTAAGCGGGGGGTTCAGTTCTAAACGAGTCTGATGATTCTAGCTGGAGCTGATGAGCCGTCGATTCTGGCCGTGTTGATCAGCATTGGATATGTACTGTAGAGCATCGTAAATGCATGTATGTATCCGTTGCATCATGTTTGCCAACGAACGAACAGGTGGTCAATACATCCTCAGCCCTCTCGGAGAGTCGACTTGGGGCCATTTCCCCTCTGTTGATCAACTACTGGATAGGGCGGAGACTATGCCCGGAATACACGGATTAGTGCCGATAGGGACGTGTCTACTGCTGTAGCTAATACTGTAGTAAGCGATCTGATAGTATGGGAAATTCTTTGTCAAGTGCTCATGACGATCCGCTCAGCCGAGTCATGGCCCTGTCTGTCGTGTAAGTGAGGCGGTTTCCATCCCCTGAATATTGCCATGGGGGGGATGACAGGGGTAAGTTAAAAAGCGCTCAGCTTTTGGAGTGAAGAAGAAGAAGAAAAGAAAAAACGAAAGAAATAATGAATTAGTGCAGGATGACATTGGAGGTTATGCTGATGTTAGTTGAGCCTCAAGGAAAAAGCAAATATGATCATCATGCGCCATGACCCTTCTTTGGCTATGGCTTCAGCTCTAGACTATGGGATGGGATGGGATGGGATAGACAGAGTGACGTGATGAATGTACTTCTCCAGGTTCTTGGTATGTACAGTACAGTATATACTTGGTTGATATCATGTTACATTGTGATCCCCAATTGGTATATTCTTTAGCGACACAACGTGCGTGCGTGCATCGTTGAATGGTGTCGTACGATTGGTAACGAGACGTTGATCGAATGCCTCAAATGGTCGATTGATGCGTTGGCATTGAAGCCACGGCAGATGTCTTTTTGGTTCTTTGCTCGTCTCTCTATTTATTCACTCACTTATCTTTCTTCAACTTGTTATAGTTCTGCTGCTCAGATCAAGCCCAATCTGTCCAATATCATCACATCAAGTGACATCTCGACAGCCTCACATCATATCATTCATACCAAATCACTCGCTATTCTCACTACACACTCTACCTCAACTCACATCGCACAGCATTCTCACCCCCCGCAAGTTCAACCGTAACAGTGACCATCGCCGCACAAACCTCGCCTCGGAATCCATTGATTGGAACATGAATGCACGTCTTATTAGTCTCACTCTCACTGCACTCGTCGGGCTGCAGCGCCTATATGCACGCATGCATCCCTCCCTCCTTCATGTCGTTCCTCAAGGAAACATCTCTCTCACACCATCCATGTCCAATTGCCTGCCATACACAATTTCTGCCTGATCCCGTTATCGTATGTAGACGCAAACTTAAATATCCTTCTCTTTCTCTTCAGGCCTCATCCCAGAGAGATAAGTATCTTGTCCTGCATCATGTTTTGTTGATTCCGGTGTCGTTGGACGCCCCCCGTTTTGCACTTTTATTATACCAATGTTTTCGACTCTGTTCTATTCGAGACCGACCTGTGAGATTTGATGTATATCCCTATATCCTTGCCTCATCTGCAGGCTGCCCGACGCCATGGATCCCCAGCCATTCCTCATCCACTCACGAAGCCCTTCAGTCATATTAGCCCATATCCGTATCCATATCCCACTCTTATAAGGAGACAATTCTCTGATAACCCAACGACGAATAACAACATCAAGATTGGACTCATTGTGGGCTTTACCCTTGCTGCGTTCCTGGCCATTGTCATCACCTTTTTGTACTTCTACTACAGATCTGCTCGGTTTACTTTTAGGAAGAAGAAACATCGTCGGCATCATCACCACCACCATCACCATCACAGGAGGCATAAATCGATGAGCAGTGGAGGCTCGAGACATTCTGATAGGAGTGCTGCTCCTGCGGATGATGCACCTCCGCCTCCGCCTGATAAGCCAGCAGATGGGTAGCAGGGGGAGTAGGCCTGTCTTTTGGTAAGTGATTACTGTACTCATGCTTTTATATATCCGAGAACGAGGCTAACGCATGCTTAGATTTCTCTATTTCATGTATATCTTTGAGTGTATTAGTGCTTCGTTCTTTGACTTGCAAAAGTAGAGTCCCCGGGCATCATGGCTGTGTAGTTGGATTCATGTATCGTATCATTTGTATTCTATCAGCCCGTCTTTGAGAAAATTCATAAGCTTCAGTATTGTCTCTTCCGAGTATATCGTACAGTCTATTTCTCTTCATGTGCAATGATCTAACAAACAGAAACAACATCCCTATGCCGTCTATGCCAGCGATGTCCAAACAGGAAAGGATAATTCAGTCCATCGTGTATCTGAGGCGCGTCCATCTCATTCGGTGGGTGAAATGGATGTAGATGACAAGGATTGGGCATCTGAAATATCGGCTCCGGTCTTCGAGGGCCTGAACGATGATGTCGTCGTCCGTGGTGAAGCCTGTGATGTCGGCAGTTAGGGTGGTGACGGACTCCATGGCGGTGATGTCGCTCACGACACTCAAGCTCGATATCTTCAGGGTCACCCTCGACACTTGCGTTGAAATGTCCTATGACATGACGCCGACGGCGCGAGTGACGACGATGGTTGCGTCTCTGACTGCTGCTCGTCCTGAGCTGCTTGGAGATGTTCCAATTCCATACAAATAAGCCAACTCCGATGACAGCGGCGAGGAGAGTCAAACCGACGACTATCCCTATGATTTCTGGAGCTGTGTCTCGACGATGAAGCTTGTGAAGGGCTCTTGATAGGAGAGGTTTGAAGTCGTGAGCGTGATTGTAACCTTGAGTTGCTGGTTCTGTTGGGATATATGGTACCAGGTCATCCTGAAGTGTTGAAATGTGAGTGAGACTGATGGAAGGCATCGTGAATGAGAGAATGTTTATGAGAATAGCACGTATAACACATTATTTACAGAAACATAGATGGCGAATCTAATGTCTATATGCCCAGGGAATGACCTGTTTCCTCAATTGCAGCAACATATCGTGTCCAGCATCATACCTCGCCAGTTGAAACTGACAATCAATGATTGATTTCTTTCTTTCAGCTCCTGCAAACGCCCAGCTGGTTCCTGAGTCTGCAAACAAGCCCCCCGTCAAACATCTGCAAGGCACCGATTCCTCATGCAGTCCATCAAACTTGACAACATTCTTTGTCGTAACACATATAAATTCTAGAAGATTGCCTAACACGTTTGCAAATACACAATAAAACAGCAAACCCTCAAACTTGTACCAATGGATTATATCATCGCATCTCCCTCCTCCGATCTCTCCGTCGTCTTCTCTCTTCCGCCTTAACCTCTCCCTCCATGACCCCCCTGATCTGTCCCAACGTGCTCCCAATGACATCCTGCAACCTCCCGCCCTTTCTCACAAAGCGATCGTAAAACTCGCAGTCCCGATGTTTGGCGCCTCTTGCGTTCAAGGAGATTATCGTGCTCGACATGGCCTCCAACTCTGTCTTGAGGGTCTTGAGATCTAGGTCGCGCTTGTATCGGCGTTGACGACGACGGCGGCGGCGCTCTTCTTTGTCTTCGTCGCGACGAGGCTCATAGGGTTGAGCATAGTAAGTCTCTTCTGGGCGAGGAGACTCGTAGTATGGTTCTGCAAAGGTAACGCGGTGGCGACGTCTCTTTCGACGTTCTTTATCAGATCCGTATTTATCACCGTCATCTTCGACATCCCTACTCCTCGGCGCTTCTCTGCTCCTCTCCTTATCTTTGTCTCTCTTCCTCTTCTTATCCTTCTTGCGATCGTCATCTCTTCGTGGCTGTTCATTTTTGCCACCAAGCATACCGAGAACGAATTCAGCTACACCACGGAAATCTTCAGGGTTGATCTGGTTCCCGCTTCGCGTACCATCGCGAGTTCGCTTCTCAGAGGATGATTGACCCATGGCCTTTCTGGCGGCAGACTTAGCAGCGGATTTGGCCAAGTTCTTTGCGAATGTCTCCATGAAGCTGGGATCCTCAGGAGGTCGAGAGCGTGAAGACTGGTCCTGGCGACCAAAGAACTGCTCGGCAAAGCGGTCCATTGGCATGTCTTCAGGTTCGTCTCTGAGATGGTTCAGAAGAGTCTTTGAGATAAAGTAGAGAAGTATGGAGCAAAGATGATGCTCGTCGTCGCTGTCGTAATCGTCGTCTTGGTCTTTGGGGTTGTCCTTGGGTACAGACTTTGTCTCGGCTTCAACCTCACCAACTTGTGTCTCTTCTAGCTCGTCCTCAAACTCTTGCTTGATCTCTGGGTCCTTTTGAGAGATCGAGTCGTGAGCTGCAGCAACGTCGTTGCTTTGTCCCTCGACTACTTCTCCAGACCTTGACGAAGGGTTATCCAGGTTGTAGATATGCTCAAAGGACGCTAACAAAGAGTGTGAAGAATAGAGAGAAAGTGCAGGTTGATCAGGCGAACGACTTGTGTAGCGGATATGCAGTCGCCTATATATGCATGTATATTCTGTGACACAACACTGCCATAGTGACAGCAGCCGCCCGGCGGACTCTCGACTATTTAAACATGTCGAGGTTGAATATTACAGTGATTTTGTACCCATGAGGTACCAAGTCAGGTGAGTCGCGTCAGGTTCGTGATGGTTGAGACTGAGGATGATAGATTCATAGGCCTTTGGTCACGCGCCTATTGCGGCAATGCAGGAACATGACCGCGCTGAGACATGACCATGACCAGAATTCTGCACCAAATGATCGTCTTCTTCCTCATAATATTCGGACCTGACTAGAAGAGGTGATTCAGTTCCATCTATTTTTTAAATGCCTAAACTATCGTGATTGACTTCATGTCAGGCTTGTCCATCAGATGCTGGTGTTCTCTGATCTCAACCTGGAACCCAGCCAACCAGACTCCTTGCTTGAGGCCTTGCCACGACCTAGACTATCTTCCCAAACGGGCTGCCTCATATTTTCATGCCCTCTATGCTATTATTCGTATCCCATTCATGTTCCAGACGCCTTGCGAATGCACTCATGCCACAGCCATCATGTCTAGCAATGAGAAATTTGCAGAAACAGACCAAGCAATGCACGCAGCAGATATATGCGCTCCGACTAATTAGCTCAATAGCTCCTTGATATCTTCGATACGTTGGAGCTTTTTCTCTTCATCACTCATCATGCCCAAAGAGGTTGCACTGTTTCAAATGTTAGCTGTGCTCCGATACTCTCGCCATCAGTGATACTCACATGAACTTCTTCCGCTCCTGGACCTTCAGCATCCGCTCCTCCACACTTTCCTTGACCACAAATCTCTTGACTTGTACCTCCGACTCTTGTCCCATTCTGTGTACTCGATCGATGGCCTGAGCCTCGACTGCAAAACTCCACCAGGGATCCATCATGAATACTCGACCAGCTGTCGTCAGATTTAACCCGACACCTCCCGCACGTAAACTTAGCAACAGGATCGTGAATCCCTTTCTCTCGGTAAACTCGTTAAGTACAGCCGCTCGAGCTTTCTGAGCCATGGATCCGTCAAGTCGCAGGAATTTGATGTTCGCACGAGTGAGAGCTGGCTCGATAAGGCTAAGAAAAGACGTGAACTGAGAGAACACCACAGACTTCATCTTGGGATGTTCTCGTCTCAGATTCCGCAACTCGGACATCAGTGCAACAACCTTTGCGGAAGAGGCATTGACGCCAACCCGTTGCAGGCTGATCTTAGGCTTCTTCGACATCATCATATCAGGATCATCATCGTGTCGAATGACCTCAAACAGGTCACGTTTGTTGATGGGCTCTCGACAACTAAAACATCGAGGCACTTCGCCCTTGCCAATCTGATGCTTGATGTAATCAAGCAAGCACTTTTTACACGCAGAGTGCCAGCAGCCAGTCACGGTCTGATCATTCATCGGCTCTTCAAAACATAGAGGGCATTCATTCTCAGCCTCATCACGGATCTGTTCCAAGGCATGAGCACCGAAGGTCTGGTTAGTCTCCTTCGAAGCCTCATCCGTCTCCGCCGTGAAAGAGGTGATAAGCGACTCGAGATCCATATCATCTGCCAGTCCAGCAGCGGCATCAGCAGCAGCTCCAGCTTCTTCTTCATCTGCCACAGTATCACGATTGCGGACTAGAATGGGATGGCAGCAAGATTGGCGAAGACGCAGGATCTGTGCAAAGATGGTCGTAAAGGCTTTCATGACAGTACCCGCTTCAACGTTCTGCGAAAACGTTCGTTTCGCTTTGTTGAAGATGTAACTATACACATCTCTTTCCGTTTCCGATAGCTCCACATCAACAATTTCGACTTGCTTAGGTGGTAGGAGCACAAGCGGTTTGCCGTCGGGTGTTTTCATGTCCTTTGTACGTCGTAGGACGAGGGGCTCTAGCACTGTTTGCACAACATCCAAGGCCCGCATAAAGTCTCCCGATTCAAATGGCACAGTAATAAACGTTCGCCAGAACGAAAAGTTGTTCCAAGGCTCCACGCCTAGGAATCTGACAAGACTAAACAAATCTTCCAATTTGTTGACGATGGGAGTCCCCGTCAAAGCCCATCTATGGTAGGCTGATATTTCATAGCAAGCCTTTGCAGTCTTGGATGATCTGTTCTTGATATGGTGTGCCTCGTCGATAATAATGCGGAAGAACTTTAGGGAGAAGAGCCCGTTGTGAAAGCTCTTGTCTCCCTTTCTGGCAGCTATGCTACTGAATTCGGATAGAACAACTCCATAACTGGTAATCACTAGGTCTGGAGCGTTGGACGCGTTGGAAGCACAACAGAGTGCCTGCAGATTGCTTGACTTCTCGTTGCCGTAGTATAACTCAATCTTCATCGTTCCATCCTTGGAAGCCTTCACCGCTTCACTTTGCCATTGCGACAGTAGCGACATGGGGGCAATCACCAACGTTGTGCAAGGCGCATCAAGCACCGATTCTGAGTTTTTGCCCAGTCTAGTAAGCTGATTCACGCTCGAGAGCTCAACAACTGCTCGGCGAGCTTCAAGTGCGATCTCGGACCTATGCGTGTGCACCAAGCTTAGCATTTGGATGGTCTTGCCAAGACCCATTTCGTCGGCAAGGATACCACCCAGACAATGTTGTTCTTGAACTGGGAAGTCAAGGGACAAGTCGCCAGAATACGGATTGACGTAGAACTTTGGCTGTCCCTCAACCTGAGGTACATTCTTATCATCGACATCTTTCAATGGCCAATCGTACTCCTCCCAAAGAGGGTGCATGGATGGTTCCCGGTTGCTTTTCTCGTCCTTCTCTTTTGCCATCATCCAGTGTAGCGCTTGTTTTTGATATGATCGCAGTGTCATAGCAAAGGTATCTGCTGGCTCCGCCTCAGGGGTGCTAAAATCGAAGGACTGAGCCTTCTTGTAAAGTGCATCGAGCTGATCCTGTTCCAGCTCTTCTCCTTCTTCGGTCTCGGATGATTGGGATGAGTCGGCCTCCTTGCCGATTCTATTTGTATCCCCATTGGCCTTCTTCGCCTCCTTCTGCTTCTGTTCGTCTTGCTCGGCAGCTTTGAGCAGCCCCTTACGGCCATCTTCGGCAGCAGAATTCGACATAGTGGGCTGTAAGTTGATCTCCTGAAACAATTTAACCAGAGCGACTTGTCGCAGTCGAAGTGTTTTCTCATCGTTTGTCTCGTTTTGTTCGAAGAAAGCAGCCGATCGGTCGTCAGCGAGCTTGAATGAGCGGCTGAAAAAGGCAGAGTCAAGCAGTGAGCATCGCAATTGTAGAAAAATCGTGTCGTTCGTTCGGATTCTCTCAGGGGCGTAAACCACAGTTCCTTCGAATTTGCACACCTTTTCGTCGATCAGAGCTGAAACCCAATTTGCCGTCTCCTTCGCTAGCCGTCCAACTTCTGATCCGTTTTGGGTGGTGAAGCGCACGATTACATCGACTCGCCTCGCAGCGGCAGCGGCAAATCCTCGTGAAGGTGTAACTTGTCCGTTCTTTCCCTTCCCTCTGACAGATTGGGGTGGCTGTAACTTTTGTCGCTCGATTTTCACGACATCGCCATGCTTCAACACGTTAACTCCGCTCCGTGTAGCCCATCCTTCAACACCAAACGCTCCTATATATCGTTGTTTCGGCATTCTCTGGCTTGTCTTGATACTTGGCTTGCGTTCATTGGGGACACTTGGCGACCGACTGGAGCTGGTGGTAGAGGCAGGCCTTAATGGTGTTTTCCATGATGGCTTCTTCACAAATTTCTTGTATGTTCCATCAAAGTACATATTAACCGCTCGTTCGAGATCGTTTCCGCAGTGGTCTCTTATGGCCGAGAGGACGTCAGTAGAGACCTTGTCCCCGACGAAAGCTTCGAATGTCTCTTGATCAAAGGAGACAGACGACTCCTGTTGGAGCGCCGGTGGCCGTGACGGAGATGTTACAGGGAGATCATCGTCGTGCGTTTCGCCAAAATTATCTTTGTATTCATCTTCTTCCTCGATATCGTCCTCATCTTTAAAGAACCGTTTCGGCTGCGGTAGTGGGGATTGGTCATGAGAGACAGGGTCTGAAGAAAGTTCGTCTGGGTCTGCAAAAAACCTTCGTCTTTTCGCGGGAGGTTCTGGATCTATATGATCATCTGGGTGCTTTTTTCGGTAAGAAAGCGTCATGACTAAAGACCTTTTCTCATAGAGCGTTTGGCCAAAAATGTTGAAGCCCACCAAAAGAGCTCCTTGAGGTCGGAGCTGGACTTTCTGGGAGACGCGACAAACCCCTGCAGGCGCGACTGCGCGTGGAAGTGTCACCTGATCCCGTGTTTAAGTGGTTCCTTTCATCTCGTCATGTCGTGTTAATTGATGTGGCTCATGCTGTGGCGCGATGGAGCTCGACGTCATGAAAAATTCACTGAAGGCGATTGGAAATCCGACGTCTATGGGTGGCCGTGTCTAAGTCGCAGGACCGTCATGTTCATTGTATCACGATCAATTGTATTGTTATTGAGATGATAACAGTCCTATTTCAATAATCGTTGAGG